AAAGTAACAGCAAAGAAACCACAGAGGAAATACTGGCACAGTGATTGAATATTACACTATTGAATAATCAGTGGGGCCCTGAAGGTATAAAGGGAGAAATTCGAAAATTCCTATAATTAAATAATCAAGCAAATGCAATATATCAGAATCTGAAGGACACAATGAAGAGAGTTTAGGAGAAAATCTGGAGCTGCACCTGTGTTAGGAAAAAACTGATCATAAATAAATAACCTAATAATGTAGCTAAATATCCTAGAATAACAAGCAGTAATTGAATGTAATTACAATGGATGGAAAGAAATATATACCTATGAGAGATGAGTTTAAAGAGATGCAGGGATGTGGTGGGGAGGAGTGTACATAAACGAATTATGAAATATCATTTATGTGAAACAGCTCCCTGAGATTAAGCTAATCATTATGTACTACAAATATGTACCAATAAAAATTAAAAAATGAAAATTTTAGAAAATTGAAAAATTTGGAAAAGATTGGAAGTCAAGAAAACTCAATTGTTCATGGATTGACATAATTTACATTGTTAAAAACACCATGTCACCAAAAGTGATATGGAGGTGGAATGTAATTTCTACTAAACTACCACCATTCTTTATTATTCTAGAAAAAGCAACCCTGAAAATCATATGGAAACTCAAACGACACAGAAATTCTGAAATATTCCTGAGCAAAAAGAATGATTCTGAAGGCATAACACTATTCAATTTCAAATTAAAATGCATGCCATGGTGGAAAAACACACACACATATTTAATACTGACACAATAACAAATATGAACACCAGGAGAATAAGAAAGAAAACACAGAAACAACCACATGCACCTTCAGACATCTGATTTTTGACAAAGGGGACAAAATTTATTCAGGAAAAACGACAGCCTCTTTAGTAAAAGCCAGTAGAAACCTGGATATCCACATGCAGAAGGTACAGATAGGATTTCTATGTCTCAAGCTGTACTAAAATAAATATGATCAGAGACTAGATGTAAACCTTGAAAACTGCTGGAAGAATACTTATAGGAAACCTGAGAAGTTGTAGGCACAGACACAGAATTTCTAAATAGCACCCAATAACATCAGGAAGTAATATAATGAATCCATGAAAGGGACTATATCAAATTAAAAGCCAACTGAAGAGACAACCCACAGCATTGGAAAGCAACCACAGCTAGCTACACTTTTGACAGAGAATAATAATGTCTTATCAAAAAAAATTAACACCAGTAAAGAAAAAATCCCAAACAGTAAAAGGGTAAATTAATTGAGCAGATAGTTCTTAAAATAGAAGTGAAAATATCCAACATATATAGGAAAAAATACTTAACCAATTTAGCAACTATGGAAAAGCTAATTGAAATGAGATTCCATTCCACATCAAACAGAATGCCTAGCTTTGTTAATAAAAAAAAAATGAAGGCTGGCAAGAATGAGAAGGAAATGTGTCCTCTCTTTTGATGGGAAGGTAAACTACTACAATCAGTATGGTAATTGTCATGTACTTTCTAAAAAGAGAAAGAAAGAAAGAAAGAGAAAGAAAGAAATAAAGAAAGGAAAGAAAGAGAAAGAAAGAAAGAAAGAGAAAACTAAAAGAAGAAATGCCACTTGATCCAGTTATAAGAAAATGTCAATAGGATGATTCGGGAAACCATAATATTAACAAAATAAGCTGGAAACTATATATATCTCATGTTTCCTCTTATTTTAAAAATTTAAAAACAATGAATAAGAGAAGACAGAAAACAAGAAAATCATTTTTGCTGAATTTAGGAAGTGAATCTGGGAATGGGGAGGTAAATTTTATGATCAGATGAAAATATATTATATGCGTATATCCATATACTAAAACAAATCTCACTATACTGTATTACTAATTTTACTGTAATGTTAAAAGGTTTTACATGGCATATGCAACAGCTGAAAGAAAGACGTAAATATAAAAGGAAAGTGAATAATTTTTTTCTAAATGTAGAATTAAGAATGGACTTCCCTATAGAATAGGCATTAGAAAATGGGGATTAATGGCATAATAATCATCTGTGAGGTCAGAAGATCTCACATGGTCTCAGTTTTCATGTTCTCCCTGGCCTCTTTGTAGAGTATTTCCTTCCCTAGAGTACACTTCAAGACCCTTCCAGAATGGGGGTTAGATGACATACTTCCACATGAGGTAGGTCATAGAATTTCTTTGCGGCCAGCTTGTGCACAGGAATGGTGGTTCAAGGACAGAAAGCTATTTCCAGGTTATGAACTATTTGGAAGGACAGGAGTTTTACTGTATACGACCATAAGAATTTCAATGGTAATTGAAATAGCCAGCTTTGAGGGTGAAAGCAGGTCCTGAGAAGTATTATGAGAGGACGGTTAGAGGCCCTTCCCAACTCCTTAATTTCAAAGTTCTCAGTCTGCCAAAGAGATGTACTTTGTTCTATGATGTGCTATGTTCTGATCTGTAATAATTCTCCTAAGTGGAACTTCCATAGAAGTTTCACAAAAATTGAGAGTTGAGCATTGGCTATGGACAGGAGAAAGGGGTTAGTACATGGGGTATAAACTTTTCATAAAGGGACTGAGGCAGAGACAGGAAGGAGAATCGGTAAAGAGAAAAGAATGAACCTAATATTAAAACATCCAAGCACATAAAGACAAGTATACCGCATTCATTCAATTACTCTTCACTTAATAAATTTTTTCCAATCACATGTCCCAGACACATGCTCAAGTCTTTGAGATGCAAATCTGAAGCTGATAACACATTATCTAGCTTCATGAACTTGAGATCAGTATATTAGTTGATCTAAATTGTAAGCAAAACTCATAACCAAAATAATAAAATAAAGCTGTTAAGTGCTCAGAGAGAAAGTGCATAGTTACAGTGAAAATCAAATTATTTTCTAAATGAAAAGTGACTTAGCCATGAGGAATGAAGCTTTATTACATTGAATAATGAATATTCTCATTATTTTACATTATTTTATGTTGATCTAGAAAATAACAGATAATGAGAAAATGACTTTCTCTAACATTTGATTTCTGTGGTATTGACATGTAAAAAATGATCCTTGAATTTTATGACAAGTTAACTTAACATCAATACTTGAAGAATTTATTACTAATACTAACCAGATTTTTAAATATAATGATTTCACCCAGTTTCTCATTGTTCTTTCTCATTACCTAGATAATATTTATTTGGCTTAATGTCAAAGAACAAAACACTAATGTTCCAGAAGACAACCTTGACTAAAACATATCTTGAACAAATGCATGAAAAAAATCTGAAGGAATGAACCTGGAATGCTGGACAATTTTTGAATTTCATAATACAGCAATAGGCATAAATATTGTACAGTTAGGTTATCACTTTCTTCCAGAAAACTCTATAAAATATTATGATATGAGATTTAATTATTACAAATTGTGCCACTATAAATATGGGTGCACATACATCTCTGTGGTATGATTCCTTTAATTCTTTTGGGTGATACCCAGCAGGGGAATAGCTGGGTCAAATGGAACCTTTAATCCTAGGTTTTTGAGCTATCTCTGCAATGATTTCCACAGTGGTTGCACCAGTCTGCACTCCCACCAACATTGGAAAAGGGTTCCTTTTCCTCCACAACCCTGTCACCATTTGTCTTGGAAACAGCACAAATGATCAATACCTGGTGACTGGATAAAGAAGATTTAAAAAAAATATACAATGATATACTAGAAATAAAAAATATAGAATGATAAACTAGAGGTATTGATAGCTAAATGGATGCACATTGAGACCATACTCTTAAGTGAAATAAATAGGAAACACATGTTTAAATGCCACATAGTTTCTCTGGTGTGAGAAACTGCAAATGTAAATGAAGACCAAAATGTAAAATAGATCATGTCAAATGGGAGGTAAATGTCCAAAAAGGAAGCAGAAGTAGGGAAGGGTGGGGAAGGGGAAAGGAAAGAAGGGAAGGAAAAAATACGAGAAAAGAAAGAAAAAATGGAAACAAAGATTCTTTTTTTAAATAGGGAAGGGTGGAATGGTTAAAGGGACAAAAGGGGAATGGGAAAAAAGAACCAAGATATATCATGTATTGGTACAAATTATGAATGATGAATGTGATCAAAATCTATACCTAGAATGAACCAATAAACTTCATGAATGAAAAAAATACTATGACCTTGAAAATGAATTTGAAGGAATTATGATTCAGATCAGCTTAGTTTTCATTACATAAAATTGTGTCTATAATGGAGTCAGTGCTGTGTGCCTGAAAAATCAAAGTGCTTCAGTTTTAGAGAAATTTTGCATACAGATTTTGCTGCCTAATTTTGCTTCTTCCAATAAAGATGTGTGGATCCTTTTTCAAAGCACATACTACCATAAGTCCAGATCATTTTATCCTTACTATATATTCTTCCTTGGATCACCTCAAACTCTGTACACCAACATCTGTGCAGTCTTTTGAACTGAGGGATGTCTGTCTGGAACAACTTCCTCCCAGTTACTTGTAAGACACCTCTTTCATTTGTTTGCTTCCTTGATAACTTTCCATTGAATTTTACCTTGATTGTACTATTTTTCATTGCTCCCTACTGCTCCACCTACTGAACCCCATTTACTACTGTGTTCTTTCACATGTTGTTTCTTCAATTATTGTACATTTCATGATCTAATATGTTGTATCAAATACTTTTGTATTTTTATGCATTTGGGGAATCTATCATCTATGACTACTACTGTTTTCAAAACCAGATCACCAGATCACCGTTTGAATCCTTTCCTCATCTATGATAGTTGAATACAAGTGTTCTATAGATTTCAATGTTTGCAAAACTTACTTAAAATGAGTCATATTTTTACTGATGATGGAATAGAACATAAAATTAATATTTCAGAGATAAGAAGTGGTTAACTAAGATGTATTTTAAAGATAAATTCAGAACTTTATAATCTATTGAGCCATAAAAATGGAAAACAAACTTTATCACAGAAATGTACAAGAATAGTAGTGAGCCAAACCAAAACACGCAATTGAAAAATACAGTGACATGCATATGATAAATGGAAATATTTTAGTACCATGCAACATATATTTAAGGAAAGCAGCTCCTAGTATGAGATGCTACAGAGAAAAATAAATTCAACCTAGAAAATTTGGGGAAATAAAATATAGCAATGAAAATATAATTTTACCAAAAATTACATACTGTTCATCAAAAAAATGAAAAGATTAGCAGATGATTTAACACAAAGAAATGATAAAGGTGTATTTTGATAGATATGCTAATACAGTTCAGTTGATTCCTACTCATGCATAAATCAATTTATTACAATTTACCTCATAAATTTGGGTAAATATTGTGATTCAGGAAAGAAAGAAAATAAGAGAAATAAACATTTGATTTTTTTACCAGTTAAAGCTGAAAGAAATGAAAAACTACCATGACAATATTGTAGAGAATGAGGGAAAGACAGAAAGATAAAAGAAAAAGGATGTAAATGAAAGTAGGAATTTAAACTGTGATGAACTAGCAATTAAACCACACTAATGTTTACACTGAAAGGGATTATAAATCCTTGCTGTGACTTTGCTTGCTGCTGTGAACCAGAAGTTACCACAAGTGCTCTGTCATCTTAAGCATCTCTACACATGGACCAAATGTGTTGCATTGATAGAAAATCTTGAGTAAAAAATCTTCATCTTGGCATCTTGCAATCTCATGCCTACTGAGGTGATATTAGCTTAAAGATTCACTCCATCCTCTTATTTATCTTACACCTCAACTTTAGGGTTAGGGTGAGTGTTGTTAAGGTTATGATTAGGATTAGGGTTAAGGTTGTTAGGGATATTAATAGGTTTAGGATTAAGATTGTTAGGGTTAAAATGTGGATGGACAGCATTGGCTTTCTGTAAGTACATTAATAACATAATACTTTAAAGAAGTAGCTTTTATTTACCATGACACATTTTCTCTTGAAATTTTCAGGACACTTTTTTCCTCACAGAGCAACTTTCCTCTATAAATCACAGTTCATTTTATGAGATTTAATGTAAGATTCACAATATCTATGTTCCTTGATTCTCACTGTCTACTCTTTCCAATCCCGTGTTTGTTTCCTCTTGTTGGACAGATAATAATGAAATATTTTAGTCTTATTATTGTATTTCTATTTATTTTTATGTTTTTAAAATATTTGACTTAATTATGTATAACTAAAACCATTATTTTATCTACTGTATTCATTACAAAATTTATGTTATATTCAGTGCTGATTATGTCTTTCTGATCATTTTAGTTTTCCAAAATAGAAAACAAAATCAAGTTCCACAAAACAGGAAAACACATTCCACATGTATAAATTGTATATTAAGCAGATGACACAGACCAATTGGAAAGAAGGTTCCCTCCCATTTCTTTGGAGCTTCAAAATGTTCATTTATCACCTGCGAGTTGACAGTTCACTCAGTGAAGGATGAGGCAGAATAGAATATGTAACACATGGAGGTTTTGGTTAGTAAAAGGCTGACCTAACATATGTCATGTTAGAATATAGTGTTTTTGTTATAATATTAGGATGACTGAATACAATAATTATAGAGAGTGATAAGTACACATCCAAATAAAATTTATGGGCACAAAGGAAGATAAAGGGAAAAATTACTAGTATGTAAACAAAATGTTAATGAGTCTTGAATTCCTTGTCATCAGTGAATATTCCATTTTCTATTTTTTTCTAATGAATACACCTTACTTCTAGCATCATGTCATACTTCTAATTATAAACTCTTCCCTGGTGAAAATTGTGTTGTTCCAATCTTTATACACTGTCATGAATAAATATGTTTCTGGAAATGTGTTCTCCATCAACCTGATCCAAAAAATTCCCCATTGATGACTTCAATGTACACATTATTCTTTGGAAATTAATGTAGTTCTGTGTCAGTTTAAGAATTAAATAAAATGCAGTTCAGCCACTCTTTAGAGTGTCTCAAGAGAACATAAAGTGATTTTGATTTCAGGGTGTGGCTTCTGATGGAACAGGAAAAGTCTTTGTTTACTTCATCCTCAAAATCTTGTCCTTGGAATCAGGCCAAGTAATCCTTCCTAGGAAACTATGCCCTGTGCATGACCAAATGATCCAGTGTTCTGAATGGCCATTTAATGAGGCACCCTGAGGTCAACAGGTGTGAGGGAAGATGTACACACTTTGCTGTATACTCACTGCTTCTTCCTCCATTCTTTTCAGATGAAATTTCCTGGGGAAGTTTCCATGTGACCAGGCCCTGAAAAACAAAATGTCTACCATGATATAAATTTATCTCGTTAATAAATGAATGTACTAAAACAATAATTTATATCAAAAAATGCAAATATATCTGAGAAATTTTCAGCTTCTTATATGGATTTTATATTTTATTTCTCAGAGTAAGTTGAGGTTGAACATGTTCTACCCAGATAATCTTGGAAGAAATTTTATTTTTCAGCAACTTTTCATCACATTATGTTTCATTCTTCATGTTGGAGTGGTCTAGATCTTACAAAAGGGATCAAGTATTTCATCAGAAAAACTTGTATTCATATGTCTTTTAGGACTTACTGTGAGAAATGATAAGATCTGTGAAGCAAGAATATAGAGTTGTGGTTTCAAAAACTGCAAGCAATATACATATTTTGAAAATATAATATTTCGAAGAAATGTCATTTTGAGTGTTCAAGTTAGGAAAAGGTGGTAGGAGACAAACATCCATACTGCCCTCACTCCCACCCCCCACCCTCACAAAATTGGGAGAATATTTATTTTGCTTGAATGAAAAGTGTTTATGAATAGTTAGCTTCAAAGAAGATAAAGAGGCCTGTTATGCTTCAAATCCTTACCTCCCCCGGCCAGGGCTCCCAGGATTTTATATCCCTGTCATTCTCATGTCTCATCTTCTCTTGTCCAAATTAATCAAGATTTTGACTTCCTGATAGCTGGATCTGCATATTATTTTCAAAGGGATCTGATTATTTTCTGTCACATCATAACTCCTCTGCCTGCTCTTCTTAGCTGAGGTCAGGAGTAGTAGATAGTTGAGCTCTGAGTGGGAGAAATTTAGAGAAGCAGCATACCATTAAAAAAGAGCAATGCTTAAAAATTTATTTTACCCTCACACCAAAAATATCATACTCAGGCCAAGTACTAAATTTAATTATTCAACAGTTAATGGCAAATGAATACCATGGGTAGAAGGAACTTCACCAGTGTGCCTGACTTCATCTTCATGGGGCTGACAGATTTTGAAGATGTGCAGTGGGTCTTCTCCCTGCTCTTTCTCTTGATTTAACTGATCACTATGCTGGGGAACATGGGGATGGTACTGATCATTTGGCTTTATCCCCAGCTTCACAACCCAATATACTTTTCCCCTTACCTGTCATTTCTTGACCTCAGCTACTCAACTATCATTACTCATAAACCTTAGTGAACTTTCTGACTGCCACCAAAAATATCTCAATTTGGGGCTGCTTCACACAGATGTACTTTTTATCTTCTTGGGTGGCACTGAGTGTTTGCTTCTCTCCTCCATGGCCTATGATGGCTATGTACCTATTTGCAATTCTCTGCACTATCCAGTCATTATGTCCACAGTACTGCACTGTGCCCTACTTGCTGGCTTCTATATGTTTAGGATTAAGGAATACACTGTGACTGCAATTGCTTTTGGATCTATAGGAGTATACCTACGGAAGGCTTCCTGAATTCTTTTTAGGAAGGCTGCCGGGCTTTCGTTTGGTCCCTGTTGTACATCCCCTACATTGGCCAAATTGGTGGGCTTATGAGCAGCTGTTTTGAGACCTCCCAACAGAGTCTGGCGATAGACTTAGAGCCTCTCCTTACCTTCTGCTGTGTTGAAGTCCCACTCTGGTCGGGACAATGGGAAGGAAAGGTTAATAGTATTGAAGTTGGTAGTGAGTTGGTTATTGTCGCCAGGAACCAATTTTCTGGCCTCATTCTGGATCCTTTCGTGTTCCTCTGTTGTAAACAGGATCTGGAGGAGCTGTTGATAATCATCCCAGGTGGGCTGATGAGTGAACAAAACAGTTTCTAACAGGTTAATTAAATCCCTAGGGTTGTCTGAGAATTTGGCATATTGAGTACACCAGTTATAAAGGTCACTGGTGGTGAAGGGCCAGTAGTGATGAGGCTGGTTACCATGCTCATCAGGGGGCCCTGTCACTCCCAGCGGGAGAACAGTAGAGTCTGCTGGTCCTGCCAGTGAGGCAGCATGCCGGGTGAATGTTCTGGGTGGGGCCATCTCTACTAGCGGTGCCCACTGGGGCAGGCGCCTCCTCCTCAGCTGCCGCCGGGGCTCCTCCCTCTGCCCCCAATGGGGGCGGCGGGAGTGGAGGAGAGGGGTGTGGGTGGTAGGGAGGGGGAAAGAGGAGATCTTTATCAGTTCCTCCTTGGAGGACCGGGTAAAGCGGCACAGTCGGCTCGGTTTCGGTTTGCCTTTTTCCATCGCAAAGACTCTGGGAGTCTTTTCATAGGCTGCCAGGATTACCTCCGGCTGCTGTTTCTGTGGAGGCAAAAAGGGCTTGACCCATGGAGGGGGGTCACGTATTAGATTTTCTCAAGTGATGATGTAAGGCACCTGGTCAGGATGTCCCGTTTGGGAGTGGAAGACTGCCTTTCGGATCTTCCTAACCGTTCCGAGGTCAAATGTGCCCTCGGGTGGCCAACCCACTCTGTAAGTTGGCCACTCTGAACTACAGAGAGTGATTAGTTTCCCCCCACCTTTTTTTTTAATTTCTAAACTTAGATTATAAGCGTGCTCCCTAACTTTTTTTTTTTTTTAAATGGTCCGTCATGAGGGACAGGGGGGTGGTCGCTGTCTGTCCCATCGTCTCAGTCCAAGTCAAGTGACAACAATAATACACGGTGATAGACAGACAGCCAAGCACAACAGAAAAACAAAAGGCAAGACAAAACAGTCCTCCACTCGATTGGAGGCAAAACTGAAAGTAGGACGAAGGCCTCACGCTGTGCTGCGGGAGCGACCCGCACCGTCCTTCCAGAAATCGCAGATACTCACGGGGCACTCCGTCCCCTCCAGAAGGGTCTGAAACGTCTTCCAAGACCCCGGGTCAGCGGCCCACCAGCGCGTCGGCTTAGACCATTTGCCGACCTACTCAGAAATAATTGGACCCCCGAATTAGAGACAGACAACATTGCAAACACAGACACTCACCAGCTGGTACCGACCCTCTGGTTCGGAGGTCCTGGGGGTTTTGGGGATCCCTGACGAGCCCCCAAATGTTGTGCCCAGATCGTGAAGTCCCCAAAGACCACCAAGGAGCCGATTCTGATGCAAACACACAAGGGTCGTTTATTCCGTTTATTCAAGCTCGAGCAGGGACTCACAACCATCACCGGCGCAGCAGATCAGGATTGAGAGCCCCGAATTTTAAATCAGCAGGGTTTTTATTGTGGCTACAGCAAGGTTTGGGGATTTTCCATTTAGCAGTTACATGATTGGTTGATATTTAGCAAGTATGGGGTGTACGGGGGTGGGGGTTGAGGGGCAGCTACATGTAGATTTTATAAAAAAGGAATAATCAGCTCATTGACAGAATGTTCATGGTCAGCACATAGATAATGGGCCCGGGAGCATCTGTTTTCTGGGCAAACAGAGGATTGAGTTAGGAGTTGTGTCCTTTTTTTATCTGTTGTCCCAGAGCAAGGACATTTTATCATTACTTTATGGGCACAAAGGAGACTAGGGGAATAGTTGACTTCAGTGAAGTGGAATTTATGTCTAGGCCACTTTACTGCCTTATTCTAAGATGGAATCAAATTTTAAAATGGAGTTATTTAGGTCTCACAGAATGATCACCAAAAAAGAAGAATTCAAATCATAAAAAAATTCTGGTAAGGGTGTAATAAAAAAGAAACCCTTCTACATTTTGGGTGGGAATGTAAACTAGTGCAATGGGTGTGGGAATCAGTATGGAGCTTCCTCAAAAATTAAAAATCAAAATTTCATTTGATTCATTCATTTGATTTGGAGGTATCTTCCTGAAAGATTATGGGACATTATGATGCAGGCATACCCAACTTTATAACAGCACAACGCATAGTATCTCACTTTGCCTTGAATTCAGGACCACCTAGCACTCCCTATAAATATTAGCCTTGGTGCCTTCTGGAACATTTCCATCATTTCTTATTCCTGAAATGTCATTTTCCAAAGTACATATTGTGAGGCCTGAGTCAAGTTAGCCTCTGTGCCTCCATTTTTAGTAAAATCTCCATTTATGCATGGCACTGACCTCTGCCTGAACCCCCAGGTAGTTTATCAAGATAAGTGTTGTTGTCAAGATAAAAACTGCAGGGCTGGCATTTAGCTCAGTGGTTTCACTGCCTGCTGTGCAAGCGCAAGGACCCGAGTTCGATCCCAGGTACCAAAAAAAAAAAAAAAGAAAAGAAAGATAAAAACTGCAAAATGTACCATTCCCATAACAACCGATCTGCTTCTGTAACTGGACTTGCCACTCCCGCCCTCACCGCTTACTGTGCTAACCGATTGCGCCACTAGAGCTCCAGCGAGCCAACTTCCTGGTTCTGAAACTGCTTTAAAAACTGCAGCTGAAAGAAGTCCGGGGTCCTTCTCTGGGGCTGCGTCCTTGAGATTGGACCCTGGCCAGTGAAATAAAAACTTGGCTTTCAATCTTTTGACTTACTGACCATTTGTTGGCACAACAATATAGCTATCTATTTTTTAAAAAGAAAACTTTCCCTTACTGCTGTTTTTAAAATTGCATCTGTCCACATTTTCTTCTATGCTGTACAGTTTTTCACAAGTTATTTCCATCTGACCTTTCTATGTAATTCACCAGTTTCATTTGTTTTGAGCCTGTTTTCCCTGTTCATGCAACATGAACGTCTGTTCAACCAAAAACAGTAAACTCTATGTGATTCTGCAATCCTCACACCCACAGTGCCAGTTCAACTCCAAGTCCCCCTGGCTGCCAGCCTTGAGTGTGCTTAAGAGTGGGAGGTTCCTGCCCCTGTGTGTGCAATATGTGGAGACCAGGCCCTCCCTCAGCTGGTCCTGCTGAGATTTCCAGTCAGGAAACTGGCCAAGGCAGTGGGGTCATTAATTTGTGTGTTCTGCGTAAAGCGGGCACCAGAGATTTGTGACTCTTCCTTCCTGTTAGTGCTATGTCTGGAGCAATGCTGCTGATCTTAGACTCTGTGGTCTTAGGTATCTCAATGTTCAAATAAGCTTCCTTTGGTGGCTCCTGGAAGTTATTCATTTAACATTGTGTCCAAGTATAATCTTTTCAGATTCTCATTTACTAATTTCCATATGTGTACTTAGGCATCTTTATTGTTTAAATGTTTTGTCTCCTAGTATGTGTTTTACTGTTCACTCTGGATTATTGAGATTTTTAACAAATGTTTCCCCTGCCACTTATGATTTCATTTTACTCAATTCTCTTTTTTTTTTTTTTTTTAGCAGTTTTGACTTTCAAATCTGGCAATCTTTGTCTGCTCATCTTCAAAACTGACTCATGAAAAGAATATTCAGTGTCAAAGATAATCACTTAATCATATTCTGTCTCAGATGTGACCACTCCACTGAGTGTGTGCTACACTTTCTCTTAGGTATATCCAATTCACAGCACCTCCTACATCCCCTTCTCCCCTTGACATCTCTCCAGGATGTTTGTAGTTTCTAATATTATTCTCTATTTCTCTTCCACATAGTGAACCTTCAACTGTATTTGTAATTATAAATACATAAAAATCTTGTGCAAATACTTTCATTATTTAAATTTAAATTTGCTAATCTATATATTGATAAATTTTCATAATTATTTCCAACTTGTCTTTCAGGATAGAAAATAAAAAATTGATGAAAAAATTATTTGTATCTGTTACAGTTCTTTTCCAGGCATGTATGTGTGGAGCATACATACACACAAACACACACATATATACACATATTAGACATATGTATGTATAATTTAACTTATATCATTTCAATCTACAACTTAATATGAATAAATTATATATTGGTACCCATATTTCACAAAATTACATGGTCCATGAAATCTTACAAAATTTTACCTCCTATTTATCCCTCAGCATATTTGTTATTTTTATGCTTGTCTTTTTGATTGATAATTCTCCAAGAAGATCAAAATTTATACTTTAATTTTAATAGGGCATTTTATTAAAAAAGGAATAAAAGTTTAATCCATATTAAGTGTTTTTAAACAGGAACAAGTTGACACAGATGCAGTTTTGCGGTAGCCCATACAAAGCACAAAAACAACATATTTCTACTATATTGTTAGTTAAGCTGGCTTACAGTCCATGGACAGATGTGCTACAGTAATTATTCATTCCAAGTTAAGTTTGGGAGCTCTTTCCACTTCCATGCCAGTGAATGTTGGAAGACTTTGACTTTCTTTTCATTTGCACAGGGGCTTGTAGCTTAGAGTTTGCCTTGAATCTCAGAGGAGATTTTGGACTTGGACTTTTCAGCAATACTGAAACTATTAGGACTTTGGCAACTTTAGAGATGGACTAAATGTCTTTTGTGTATAGGAATGTACATGGGTCTTTGAGGGGCCAGGGGCGGAATGTTATGGTTTGGTTCTAGATGTCCCCCCAAAGCCTCATGTGGTCATAGGATTGATTGAGAGTATGTGAAGCTGGAATTGATTCATGATGCAATGCTAGGCTCAAGGGCACTAGGATTAAGGGTGTGAGTGCTACCTCCCCTAAGGAGTCTGAATAAGATAAAAGGGGCAAGGAGACACCAGTAATTCTCTCTTGTTACCTTTGCTACCTTGTGTGTACCATGTTGTTTCTGGTCTGCCATGCCTGTTTTGCATCCTACTTTGGAGTTGGCTGATTATGGACTGAAACCTCTACAAACTGTAAGCCAAATAAACTCCTTCTCATTGAACTTTGAATGTGTGGTATTTTGTCACAGCAATGAGAGAAAAGTAACTAACACAGTGACTAAAGGCTGCAGTATTTTGCATGTCCATTTTATAAGGCTCCCTGCAATTACCAGCCTTGGAGGGAAGGCATGAACTGCTCTGGTTATTTTTACAGTTTCTCCTTGAATTCTCTTTAGACAAAACTCCCTGATAAATTTTGCAGTGGATTACCATATGAACAAAATTTCTACTGTGATATAATTAACCTCAGAATGAAAAAGGAATACACAGAAACATAAAGTTAAATTACATCAGATATATAAATATTGTACCAATGGAAATTTCAACTCCTGAAATCTAAGTTTGACAAATTTCCAAGCAGATATTATTGGAAGAAGGTTTTTTTTTCAGCCTTTGTCTCACAGTAAGTATCATTTTTAAAACTGGGGAGAAATACACTAGTAAAATAAAACGAGAATTTTATCAGACTAATATACATATTATTTAAACCTTACCATGAATACTGTTATGATTTGCAAAGGATTAATATAGAATTGTTGGAAACAAGGTATGCAAGCAACGTACATTTTTTGAAAATGTAATTTATGCAAGAATATTGATTTTCAGTAGACGTTAAGAAAATATATCATTATTACAATTGATGGTCCTTGTTGCCTTCACTCCCTCCAAAATAGATGGAGAAAATTTAATTGGTGAAAAGAAAAGAGTTTATTCCTTGCTAAGCCAAAGAACACAGGCAGGTTCCCTTTGGCATCAGAGTTCTATCTCCAAGTTTTGAGGTGAAAGGGCTTTTATGTCAAAGTCACCCCAGGCTCCTTTCCTCCCTTGTCCAAATTAAACCAGACCTTGAACTCCTATGGTTGTATCTGAATATTCTTTTCAGAGGTACAAACTATTTTTTTGTCAGATCATTACTTTTCAGTCCAATTGCTGAGGGGAGGACAGGAAGGGGTGCCTTTTCCTGCTCTTGGCCAGAGGACAGGGGAGAAGTAGACAATCTTTGAAATCCTAATGTGTAAAGAGTATTTTACTTTCTTGGTTCCCTCATCTTCAGGAATTTGACATTCTATGTGCTCCACAATCTTACTGTGCCTCAGTAAAGTCCCAAGTCTAGAATTATTTCAATTAGTATGGAAAAGCATTGGGAATTAAAACACAGGAAATAATATATAAAAATTCATTTTAGATAAATAGTTATGTATTCTTATTCAGATTTGCTAAAACTACTTATACCAGAAGCACAATAATATAAGCATATTCTCTGGTGTGAAAATATCTTGG